TGAACTAGTTCCAAAACTATTTGTGACACACTATTTAAGGCCAAAAAAAAATCTGTATGTATAAATTACCTTTTTTGATGTATTGATTTTTTTATTCATTAGGAACTGTGTTTGATGACATTACCACTTCTGGCTGCATTCCCCTTCAGCAGTGCTCCTGTACCTACAATGGTAACACTTATGCTCCAGGGACGTCTTATTCAGGCGCATGTCACACCTGGTAACTTGTTTCTTTTTCTGCTCTTTCCTATGGAGTGAACTAGTTTCATTGTTTATTAGTTATGAAAGCCTGAGCAGCAACCCTTAAGTGCATATTACTGACATTGCTGCAGTTCCTATGTGGGCTTAGAAACAGAATTTGCCTCTCCTTTTTAACACTGTTATTTAACATGTTTTTGCATACCATTTTCCTCTGAAGAAATCATAAAAAGATATAGCAGGGAAGAACAGTAGCAAACCAACACTGTGTAAATAGTTTATAAATGCCTTTCTTCAAGGCTAATATCACTGACATTGATTAACTTCTCCCCTTCTCTTCTAGCACCTGCACTGGAGGCAAATGGAACTGTGAAGATATTCCATGCCCTGGAACTTGTTCAATAGTAGGAGGCTCACATATCTCCACATATGATGAAAAGCATTACAAGGTCCATGGGGACTGTACTTATGTTCTCTCTAGGGTAAGCACCACCAAGTAATCCTTGGCCACAAAATCTAATACAGTTTTATTGAGGTAGGACTAGAAGGGCTGCGAGTATGCAGACTGGAGAAGCTCACTGCATTTGATATAACGTAGAAGAGAACACGGCAAGATTTCCAATAGAAGCAGAAGAGCACTGTAGTGAGATAGCATATATTGCACTTCATGCAAAATCAATCTATTACCTGTGATGCTGGAAGTACTGATGTCCAGAACAAATACTGAGGTATTTCCAGTTCCATAATGATGCAAACATTAACAAATTATGATTTTTTAAAGGCTGTGTTTGGTTTATCTTCATAACAGTGATACAATTCATACCCTTTTGTAGGGTTGCATCATTTTTTCCATGTTATAATATTTGATACTATCAGTCAGGTCTATGGAATAACTGATTTTGTGGCTAGCTGACAGTTCTGAAAAAGTGTGGGGGGAAGTGGGCTGATACAGAACAATATATATATATTTAAAATGAGTAAATTTAAAAGTAGAAAAGAAATTCATGAAATGAAACATTTCAAGTTCAGATATTTTTAATAATTCTTTTTAAATAAGCATAAAGATAGTGAAACGAAACATTATTTGAATCAACCTATTTCATTTTAACATTTTTTTCATAATTGTCTAGCTTTTAAATCACGTCAAGTTGGGAAAAGTCAGATATAGAACTGAGTGGAAGCAATTTTTTAAAAATGAACTTGAATTAAAACTCTTAGTCTGAACACCATCAAAGCAGATCTAAAGCCAGATCCAGAACCCATGACTAATCCATCTCCACATTGAGCTAAACAACATTACAGATCCAAGAAGTCCTAAGCTTGAAAGAGTTTGGACCAAACTCTACCAAATATGATCAGAGGTCTAATTAACAAAAGAATCTCCTGTGGTCAGTCTGTAATGTTGCTGGAATTTTTTTTTCAGGACTGTGAAAATGACACCTTCACCATTTTGGGGGAACTTCGCAAATGCGGCCTGACAGATACCGAGACATGCTTAAAAATGATAGCCCTCATCACTAACAAAGAGCAAACAGTAAGTGTCCCATTCAAGAGCTGAACATGCTGCTGGATTAGATTACTGTATACAGATATGGGGCATAAGAAAGTCAGGTCAGAATGAGTGGGTCATTTATTTCTCTAGGGCAGGGATGGCCAAACTGCAGCATGCATGCCACAAATGGCACAGGCAGCCTCAGCTTGTGGCACACAGCAAATGAGGTAGAGGGTAGTCAGCACAGTGGCAGATAGAGCAAGGAAGCAGAAAGAATAGCAGTAGATCAGGCAGACAAAGGGGCTAAACGTGGTAGTTGGGGAGGATATGGGTC